TAAAAATCCTAGTTTTTTTTAAATATGTGTACTCCTTGTGATTTAGTGACCTTTTTCAAATAAACAATATGGTAGCTGTTTTTTTCCTAAGCTAGTAGCGGAGCGACCTATAAAAAAGCTAAATGGGCAAGCAGAGCAAAGAGGTGAGCGGAGCGAGAGCTTCATGGGCTGGCTCATGTGAGTGTTATAGCAGCAATTTCAGGGCCTCAATGTGGAAAAGAGCTTGTAATGGGCTCCCACAACCATCACCGGCTGACACCGAGACCGAAATATGTATGTATTTGACAACTCCACTCCTCTTATAATAATTATCGTCTCCAATAGCAGCCCAACATGATATACAAATAAAAATAAACATTGTCATGACATAACTAAAACCCAAGACAGCGTAGATAGAACCAAAACGAAACAACCGACTCCAATAACACGTTCAGATAAAAGGAGTTCTTCCCACGAATGAAGGACGGCGTGGCGAAGCGTGCTTGAGCCTCTAATACTAAAAAAGGTGTAAAATCGCCAACTTTTTTTTACACCAATGCATGTGTATCAATTTTTTTTTTGCAAGAACAATGGATGTATATAGCTCGAGTACTGTATTGGCCAAACACAAAAGAGTCCATGCATGCATGGGTCAAGAGTCAGTGTCGTTCTTCCCGTTACTCCACATCGTCTTCAGGAATAGGGTCATATGGTCACATGATCAAAAGAGCGCCACGGCATGTACATCCTCGTGATTATGTACCTTTATTTTTTTGCGAGAGAACTTCCTGATCTATTCATAATCAATCATTTTTTGCGGGTAATTCATAATCAATCATGACAGTACAAAAAAGACTAGAGGTAATAAAAATCACAACCAGATCCATGAACCACCTAGCGACGACTACAAACACTGAAGTAAATATATACAAAATGTTCCCGATGTATAAAAAAATACAATGTCGATGAAAAAAGTAGATATAAAAAATACATGTATTATAAAATGTTAATTGTGTATTTCTAAAATATTAAATGTGTACAAAATATTCATAATGTATAAAAATAATATAATGTGTATGGAAAACAATATACATAAAAAAATTCAAAAAAGGTAATCATGTATTTAAAAATGTTAAACGTGTGTATAAAAAATATTTTCCATGTATACGAAAAATGTACCAAAGAAACTAAGAAAAAGCGGGGGAAAAAGAAAGAAAGAAAAATGAAAAAAATGAAGAGAGAAAGAAAATAAAAAAAACAATGAAAACCGAGACAAAACAAAGGAAAACGAAGAAAGAAAAAAGAACAAAAAATAGTAAAAACTATGAGAGAAACCAAAAAGGGTGAAAACAAAGTAAAATAGAAAAAATCAAGAAACCCGGGAAGAAACAAAGAAAAACAGAAAAAGAAAGACAACACAGAAAAATACCGCACTCAAAAACCAGCGATAGACAGTAAACTAGATATGGGACGGCCCGAACTGTACCTACATGAAAACCCTTCAGGCGAGGGGAGCTTTTATCTCGCTGTAAGCGAGATATAAATCTAACGGGAACTTTGATATAATTCCCCGTAAACTTGGAGGGTATATAATAGAATTTCATTTCGGCTCTTAGGAGCATATACTCCTGCCCATAAAAAATGCTCTTTTTTGCAAGTGTCAATTTCTTTTGAAAAGAATTGACGTGCTCATTGTCACACCCAAAATGCTACCTGCAATTTTTTTGCGTGGAAAAGCTTAAGCCATTTGACCCGTGCGGAAAAACAAACCGAACGCCAAATGTTACATTTAACTTTATCTTTTTCACTGACGAAACATTGTTATCCCGTTTCACAAAACAAATGTCAAAAAGGCTTGTTAGACTAACATGAACATTAAAAAAAACTGTTTTTAGTAATACTCCCTCCATTCCAAAATATAGCGCGCCCACGCTTTTCGAGGTTCAACTTTGACCATAAATTTAACCCACGAGACCGACTGCGGCGGGATCAAAAATTATATAATTAAAAACTTTTTTTGAATACGAATTCATTGGTATAATTTTTTCGTCCGCCGCAGTCGGTCTTGTTGATTAAATTAATGGTCAAAGTTGAAGCACGGAAACCGAAGACGCGCTATATTTTGAAACGGAGGGAGTACTATTTACTTTTGAATTTATTGTATCTGGGAGGAGAGCTTCTATCATTCGTGTAATGTGTGGGCCGAACACGAAAGAGTCCTTCCCGTTACTCCTCATCGTGCCTCTGCCAGCCAGGCTTCCAAAAACACCCATCTTCTCGAGGAATCATGATCAAAAGAGCGCCATTGCATTGCATGTAGTACATGCTCGTGATACTGTACCGTTGTTTGTCTGGAACTTATGAATAGGTCCCTTTCATCTGAACGGCTGGGCAGGACCGTCGTCTCTTGTTGGCTAGCTTAGGTTCAATGGTGGATGGAGAATGGACGCACGTACATATGCACCTATGCGTGCATGCAACTAACGAGAACCGATGTGACCGGCAACCCGCGTACAACATTCAAGTGCACAGACTTACTTCTGTTTATTTATCTTCAATCATGACAGTACAACGAGCATTAAAAATAATAAAAATTATATCAACATCCATAAACCATCTAGCGACTACTACAAGTATTGAAGTACTGACAAGGCAGATTAAGTTGCATACGCGTGTCCCCATCGGTTTCTTTAGTCCACAATCAACTTCATTTGAAATGTTTTATCTTGTCTTATTTTGGATCGGAGGGAGTAGTATCTCGTTGTCTTCTCTAGAAACCGAATTTTGTGACCGAGTTATCAACAAATGGCAGCTTGCACTGCGTACGCACAGCATGTCGGATACCGTCTGCAGACCTGCGGCCGGCGATGCCCGGCCCTAGGGAAGATATTGCATGATTTTTGTTTTCTAAATAGACTTGTATAATTATGATTCTGCCCCACATCATTCGCGTCTGTTGAAGGGTCTTTGCTTTGGGCAACAAGCCATGTGGCAGTTCACTACAACGTGGCCCCTTGTGACATACACATTTTATCCACTTTGCAGCAATTGGACACACAAATTATTAATGCATCCGACATGCACTTAATTAGTTTAGCTTGGCGAAAATGAATTTCACGGAAAAATAGTCATGGGTCTGTACAAGGCAAAAAAAGAGTTTTCGGTCGCACTTTGCATTTTGAATTGTAGCCATTTACTGAACATATTGAAGGTTATAGTAGTTCACTAAAAAGTCATTGTGTGTAAAACAATTTTGGATTATCAAAATTATAGTTTGGCCGCCGCTTTTTAAAAACTTTTTTGCCGACTACCATCCCTTAGCTGGGAATGACAAGATTTTCAATCTCAATACAAACGTCGAACATTTTGATCATGTTTGTTACCAGTCTGGAATATTCAGCTCTCGGAGGAGCAATCTATCCCTGTGGAAACTGTTTGTGGTTGTGGGAAAAAATGAGCATATCCTTTAACTACATCGCTGTTTTATAATTTGATCGTACTACTCTTACTTACAATAAACTTAAGCGCAGTGATCTTCCTAGGTAAACTCAATGCAATAATTAATTAGTTGCACCTATGTTATGGATGAAATTAGGTCATGATGAAAGCAAAGGCATCTAGTATCATGCTAGCACAAAATTTGGTTGTCCTAATCAGCTGAGCCACATGGGTGGTCCTGGCCATGCATGTAACGTGCCAATCATGTGCCTCCCATAATTTGGTTTTTGTCAGCTATTGATAGTATGATCTTGTGCTGAATTCGCCAAGAATTTGTGAATGTGAATTCTGGGGCCGGCAGGTAGTCAACTGGTTAGTTTGCTGCTTCGATCTCCATGCTATGGTCAGTAGAAAATCTACGCCGACGCCAGCATATACTATGCTCTTACTGTCTCTACTCTGCCTGAACGGATTCTCTTTTTATATATTGAAAGAGATGAACACATGATTTAAAAATTTAAGAAGCCAAGCAAGAACAAGGAATATTATGAAAAAAAAACGTGTTTGCTATTGAGTAGGAGCCTAATTTTTTTCGCCGCGTCAATCGAATTTGGAGAGAAGAGGATGCGCGACTCCGAGGTGGAGACGGGGGCGCCACCGCAAGGCTTCAAACAGAAACGGTGTGGATCAGGGGACGACGCGACAATGACATCCTAGTTGGAGGGGGGGCGAAGGTTTGACGAGTTCGGGTGTTCGGGGAGGTCGCCGGTGATTGGATCGTTTGGGGTTTAGAGGGAGTGTGGGCAATTCGCGGGGAAGAAAGACTCTCGGCCGTCAGATCTTGGGTCAAACGGTGTTGGTTGATTTTACTAGATTGAAAAAATCCAAGTGCATGTGCAATCGCCCCCTAAGAAAAAGAAATCAAATAAACAATGGAGGTAGAAAAAGATTAATGGAGTGACAAATGACGAGATACTACTCCCTCCGATCCAAAAAAAAAGTGTTGTGGCTTTAGCTCAAATTTGAACTAAGCCACGACACTTGTTTTTATCAGAGGGAGTAATTTCTCGAGGCGCTTAAGACTTTTTATATTTTTCTTAATCTAAACTACCAAAAATGAAAGACCTTCACAAAGAATCTCTAAGCTCCGCTAGTGCAAGCCAGAAAAGTAATATTGTGGTAAACAAGATACACCCGCGTACATGTAATCTCTTTGATTTGATTAATGTGATGTGCATGAACGTCATGACAAGTCTTAGCGGCGGCCCGTAGCAGGTAGCTGGATCCGTTGAATGAACAGTGGTTGCTCTGTGCCCCACCACGTTCATGCGCGCCGTTCAGCTCACTCTGTGGTTTCAAATCCTCCGGCCCGGCAGTAGCCTCCAAATGCGTTCGAAATAAAGCTCGCTCTGATATGATGCCATATGGCATTCTTGCAATATCGCCAGACCACAGGGGCAAGCAGCACCCACTGCCCTCTATAAATAACGCCGCACCACACGTCCATGTCTCCTCGCCCACTCGCCGTTTGAATACTCCGCTCTGCTCTCCTCCAGCAAAATCCACAGAGCAGAACATACAGGATGGTTCAACGGTCGGCCGGCCAGGGCGCGCGGCGGGGCCAGGGCCGGCAGCGGCACGACCACCCGACGGCGGCGAGGTCGGGCGGCGGGGGGAGGCGGCATTACCAGCAGGAGCTGCTGCTGGGGCTGCACAGCAGCAAGGGCAAGGGCGCGTGCCGGTTCAAGCGCAGCTGCTTCAGCGAGGAGGAGGACGCCGCGTCGTCCGCCATGCTGCTGCTCGCCTGCGTCGTCTGCGCCCCCTCACTTTGATTACCATCCATACCCCATGGTGATCTCGATCGTGGAAACGATCGCTAGCTTAAGTAATTGTTCTCTCAATTCTCTCTGTGCTGCTAGTAATTACTGTGTACTGTATCCAGATAACTGTGATGTGAATTATATGTACTCGTTTGATCACGGAGATATAATAGAGCCGTTGTTCTCGCCGTGTGCTTAACAGCTGGTAAATTTATATATGTGTTGAGTATGTTCAGTGATCACTGTGTTATGCTGGTAAGTAATGGAGAATTTGGGGATGATCAGCTTATTCGCTTTTTGCATAAAAGGCCCCATGCACAAAAAAGAGATTAAAAAACTACCCTATGCGTATACAACTAGTACCAAATCTAACACGTGGCAGCAAGCCAACCAAGGGACATGCCACCACACCACATGGCGGTTGGCAATGATCCAACGGTTTTCACAAGGCGTAAGGCTGGTCATAGTGGGGAGTAACTTAGACTAGTGTCATATGCATAACACTAGTCTAAGTTACTATCTTCATAATGCAAAGTAACATAATAGTAGTGTCTTAGATGGCTTTATTTATTAGCTTGTAGACTTATTTTGTCTTGAGAAGCGCTATGTTACAGTAACATATTATGTTACTATCTCACATTAAATACTTGCCACATAAGCAAAAAAAATTTGGAATGCGCTATGTTACTAGTTAAGTTACTCCCACTATGACTAGCCTAACAGAACGGATGGTCAAGCATATTGCATGCGCCATCCCCTATCCTTGTGGGGAATGTATCGGGTGCTCTCACCTTTGGAGTGTTTTCGGTGCTCCACGCATTTTAAAATGTTCGTAAAATTTTGAAACAAATCTAGCACATTCATAAAACATCAATGTATGTTGTCACAAAATTTCAAATCAAAATTCAAAACATTGCTCGAGATACAAAAAAGACAAAACTGACGTTAATTTGATAATGAGCCAAATCTAAAGCCAACTTATGTTATGTACTCCCCTTATAAAGAAATATAAGAGTGTTTAGATCACTACTTAGTGATCTAAATGCTCTTATATTTCTTTACGGAGGGAGTACCATTTACTATTGAATTTATCATTTATGTTTCTTGAGCAATGTTTCGAATTTTGATTTCAAATTTTGTGACAACATAAATTGATGTTGTGTGAACATGCTATTTTTTCAGAATTTTTTGAACATTCACGACTGTGCTATCAAGTATGGAGCACCGGGAGCACCCTAGGGGTGGGAGCACCAGATATTCTTTCTGTCCCAGTGCTGCTGATGTCCATTGGTAAGGTGGCAAAGAGGCAAAAGAAAAAGAGCTACAAGGATGACAAATTTACGGCCGACGCATGCACAATCCTACTTTGGCAGTGTCAACAGCTAGCGTGCATGCAAAAAGCGCTGTTGGGGAGGACGCATCGTTCACAGATCGTGCATGCAATGTCGTCTGTAAAGCAATTTCAAAAGAAAAAAACAGCAAAGAGGCAATGCAGTTCTAGGCTAGGGAATCCGCGAGGAAACTGAAGAGGAGGTTGTTGCTCTCGCAAATTTTCTCATCCATCATTCTTGCTTAAGTTTTCAGACATCGCACCACTGCCTTGATGCTATAAAACCCGGCTCAAACCTAAGAAAACCACATGCCAATCATTCTCTATGTAACGGAGATCGGCGAAGGCTTTCCCGATAGGAAAATACCACATCATATGTTGCTTGATGAATATATAGTCTGAGTGACGTTGAGGCGGAGCCTTGAGGCCCTAACGCACGTAGTGGCGCCCACAAGCCAGACATGCAGACCTGGCGTGTGGGGGCCATGGGCGCCCGCATTGCTCCCCTTTTTGCAACCTTGCTCCAGTTAACCCGCATATTCCTGTCATATTTTCTTTCTAAGGCCTTGTTCGTTTAAACCTCCTCTCAAGAGGATTGGAGTGGATTGGAGGGGATTTTGGCTTGCAGGGGATCTAATCCCCCTCAATCCCTGCCAATCCCCTTCCAAAACCGCCTCAACCGAATAAGGCCTAAAGCATGTGGGGGCCATGGGCGCTCCCTCAGCTAGCGTGCATGCGGAAAGCGCATGGGGCCACGGGCGTCGGCAGCGGTTCTAGGGTGAAAGGAATCGAGCATCAACAATGACAGGAGAAACAACACTAGAGTAGGAGTACCTGCAAGACTTGTTTGGCACGTGCGTGTGATAGCATCTTTGCAATTAACTAGAGGACGCCCAAGTAGGCCTTCAGATCAGCAGCCCAAGACGCGTTAGGCCGACCACAACGAACAACTGATGTGGTGAATGGTGGGAAGACCAAGCAATCCACAATGTTTAACCATTAGTGGGATCTTCCAGAGCTTCAAATTGTTGTGAGAAGTTGTGGTTGGCTTAATTTTACCTTTTTAATAGGAGGGTTGCCACATAGAAAGCGTTCTAGGTGGGCCGTCCCATCGCACATATTGTACCAATATTTTCTAAAAAATTGAGAACATTCAAAAAACATGAACGTTTTTAAGGAAAAAACTGAATGCATTTTATAAAGGGAAAACTTTGTTTTTGCCACTCTAGTTTTTGCCCACTTTTCTTATGCCACTCTAGAATTTGACATCTCACTTTTGCCACTCTTAGCTTTTGAAAATACATCACAAATGCCATTCAGTGGCAAAAACAATAAATTTTCATTTCACTTTTGCCACTCTTAGGTTTTGCAATGTATCAGAATTGCCACTTTGAAAATTTTGATTTTGCCACTGAATGGCAAAATTGATATATTGTCAAAAGCTAATAGTGGCAAAAGTGAAATGTTAAACTCTAGAGTGGCATAAGCAAAGTGGGCAAAAGCAAGAGTGGCAAAACTGAAAATAAAGCTCTCATGATCACTTAAAAACGAGCAGACATTTTCTAAAAAACTTTTGGAAAACATGACCATTTTTGAACTTGTGAACATTTTTATAAAATTGTAGATTATTTTAAAAACTTTTGAACAGTTTTTCAAATGTTCAACATTTTTGAAATGCGGATATTTTGTAAAAATTGTGGTTTTTCTTCAAAATTTTCAGACATGTTTGTAACGCAAAGCATATTTTAAAATTCTTTCATTTTTATTTTTTAATATGAACATTTTCTAATCTGTGAACACTTATTCAAAAATCCGAACAGTTTTTATTTATTTTAGTATTTTTATTTTTGGAGCAAAAGGAAAAAATAATGAAAGTGTAAAAGGCTAAAGAAAAAAGTGAAGAATATTGTATATCATGCCGTATGTGTGCATGCGCATAGCTACATTGTGTGCCTTGTGCATTTGTACAACAATTTGACGCAGCGAGCATCAAATAAGACACGGTGTCCTCCTGCTCCTATTTGTTGCTTCTGGTGCGGTCCATTACCTCAAAATTATCTTGCCATACAAACCCATACAAGTATGTGATTTTTCAATCTCAGAAAATATTTAGAAATAAATAAATTTTGTAATGAAAAATATACAAGTTTTCCCTAATTTCTTTTTCGAACATATTTATCTATACTCCTATATAGTGTACGAGTAGCAAGTCATATGGACCGTTGGATCTTTCTAATCGGACGGCTCAAATTTAATGGCTTGTGTTACCGGTATACGTGGCTGCATATAAACCGTTGGATATGTTAATCTGATGGCCTACATTGCGAGGATTCGCTGCACCACGTGAGCCCCGAGCGGCTCCCCAGGCGCGTGGGTGTACGCAGGTCCGCGGCCTGACGCCCACGCCGTCGCCGTCGCCATCTCCATCGCCACCCCCACCTCCTCGCATGACGGCGGAGGAGGAGGCCTGACTCATGGCGCGTGTGCTGAAGGACTCCATGCACACGCACGATGAGCGCCAATGGGCGGACCTCGAGGCGACGATGGCCCTCTCCGCGGCCGGCGACGTCGCCATCCCCGAGCTGGAGATGACGCCTCGGGAGGAGGTGGTGGAGGAGCCGCCGGTGGCCGCGTTCCACCCTGACCTGGTGGGCCAGGGGTGGAGCTGGTCGTGCTCCGCTGAGCAGATGGCGGCCGCCCTGGGGGCTGTGAACTGGTGCCCCACGCCGCCGCGATCGCCGGAGCGGGAGGCCTCGCCTCGGGAGGAGGTGGTGCAGGCACCACAGGCCACCTTGCAGCCCGCCGCCCCCGTGCACCACGGACCGTCGGCCCACCTGTGGACGTCGCCGGAATACGTCGGCCTCATCAGCGACGACGACGACACCGGCGGCCAGTGAAGGCGGCGACGGCCACGACATCGACAGGCACGACAGGAGCGAGCGGGAGGCCTTTTTTGGTTTTATGTTAATTATGAACTGGGCTGTTTAAGTGGACTGATAAACTGTGCCGTTTTATGGCCGTAACCCCTATATATATGTTTATGTTTTTTTAACTGCGTTTATTTAATTTTTTAGTCATTTCATTTAAGTTTTTAAATTTTTTTATTCACGTCCACCCAGAACAGGTTTTGGGGAGCGGCCGTGGGTTGGGCGCACCCACAACTCATCAGACAAATGCGGACATGGGCGAACCCATCGGCGCCTCAAAGAGACAAAATCCGGCCAAACCGGACGTTCGTTTGAGGTCGCGCGGTGAAGTTGGCCTTATAGCCAAGCCACTATCCAGAAATTTCCAGCAGACTCCGGTGATGCATGCAGGAGTAGAGTAAAGTGGCACCAGGAGTACTAGCAGTGGCAACTAGCAAGTACGTATCATAATGAGAGAGAGAGAGAGAGAAAGCATGTGATGGTGTAGCCTGGGTAAGAGCAACTTTAGCAGACCCCGCAAAACGTTCGGCTCGTAAAAATTCCGACGAGTATGCGGGCTCGGGCCAATTTTGCAACCAGAAAAGAGCCCGCATACTCACCCGGCCCGCAAAAACTTTTGCCGCAGCTCGCAAACTGCACGCCCCGAGCACTATAAGTGCGGTTCCGCGACCCTTTTGCGGGTCTAAATCCTATCCCCCCGCCGCCGCGAGCCACACGATCCCCTTTCTCCTCTCCCAATTTCTCGCCGCCGGCGA